ATTTGGCTGCCATGGCCGCTATTTTGCTACTAAGTTCTAATAGGCCGATCTCACTTAAAATTGGTCTAGGAATGATCAGCTCATGGTCCTGACAAAGTTAAGTTAACATTATACTATTTTTTACTCAAATTGGTACATATTTCAACAACAAAAATAAATACTGTAGACTCAGGTGACCGTTTAGGCCCATGGGCCTCTTGTTATATTTATGGAAGCATTGCTGCAGGTTTTTTTTATAGTTTGCAAAAACAATTATCTGATTCAGCTTTTCATGGCAGTTTGTCTTGTGCTTTTTTGTTTTTTTGTTAGCTGCATATATTGTACGAACTTGTGTTCAACCCTAGTCGGACATTAATTTTCATGTCAAGTCAATACAAACTGTTTCCTTCACCAATAAGTTACCAACAACAAATGATTTTGTTCATACATGTAATTCAGTGTTGCGTATAAAATTTAAAACAGGTTTTCTCACCTTGACAGAAATTCCCTTCCTGATAACAAGAGTATCAAGATGTTCATCAGAATTATTAAATCAAGTGTCTTATTTATGTATATTGTTAGGGGATTTTTTTATAGTGAGAATTTATCCCATATGAATACTTTAATACTTGCATATTGTTTCTTTGTGTACACTTCACACCTCGATGAGTAGAGCGAGTGAAAAGAAATTTGGTCCTGAAGATGAGGAATTTCATATCCACAAAAATAACATTTTATTACCTTGGATATTTTATGTATATATAAAACCGATTATTAACCAGGTCCTGTTTATATAAACCCATTCTCATGCTTATTCTCATGGGGCTTGAACAACTTTGCCGAGATCTTGTTACTGTAGCAGAAAGTTAACACTAAATTTGTGCCCAGCATCAGATTTCTCTAAGTAAATAATTTAGCAATTGTATTTGGTTGTTGATCATCAAACGCAGATATCTATAAAGAAAATATTCTCTACAATTATGTACGTAATAATACTTAATTAATCGTTTGATTCTTTTTGTGCCGTTTATATACATGTATTACAACAATAAATTGTTTTACACTACTGCCAGGTACATCTTATGTAGTTGGATTCCCTTGTTAATGTATCAGAAGTTTAACTTAATTTGTACATTTCTAATATTTAATGGAACATGTTAGAGGTTGAATATACAGGTATACTTTTGTGCTACTTTGTAACTTTTACATTAAATGTACATGGATCTAGATTGTAAATATTGGAGAAAAATAAATATCATCCAATGATTTGAAGAAATTGTTGATATTTTGTAAACAGGATATTGTACTTGTTATAAACATCCAAGGTTTGAGATCAATAGGTGCGTAAAACAACCCCCTCCCCCTAAACAATAGAATTATTAGATGTAATTACAACTTTATTACTAGAATGAAAAGTATTTCTTGAACCTAAAATATCTTTGTTCAAAGCTGAGGTAATTCTTTCAAAGAGAAGCCTATCAATTTAAGTGCTAGGAACAATGCTAAAGAATATGTCTTCATTTTTAATTTAAATGTTTTTGCAAAAAAAAAAAAAGAAGGCAAAGTATTTCAGCATTAAATTTTCATTTTTACTAAAAATAAACATGATATAGAGAATGCTGCAAGGAGAATAGTGAGGACTCCCTCATACAGGAGTTTGGGTGAGAAAACTGTCCATACAAACAGATGGTGTCTCTGTAGTGTCACGAGGCCAGAGTACACCGCCAGGGGAAGGGCCCGCGACCAGCACAGAGTACCACACACTGCTTCTATCAATATCCTCAACCTACAACCAATCGGAGTTCGATTTTGAATAAACAAAGACATCAATAAAATGTGTCGTCGATAAAAAATATCTTTTTCAATTTTCTTTCAAGTTCAATTTAAAGGAGATACTTTTATATACAGAAATTATACAATGTTCTCTAATCAATTATCAGTTCTCTAATATGTGTGTGCATGGTATTAAACCTCTCCAACTTTTTAACAGATTTTTCAAGTATTTCATATCTGAAGGTAAGATTCAATATTAGCACAGGGTGAAGAATAAGCTTCTCTAAAAAACATTTTTACTCTTTTCAAACCTTGTCTTACAGGACGTTTTACCCAAATCTTACAGGACATTTGATCCCATTTGAGAATAAGTCCCTATATCACTGTTAGTTACCTGGTATAGAATGATATATGGTTGATGTCCACTGTAGCCGTCAAATGTTTGACCAAGCTGACCAGCCAGAACACTGGACCGCCATATGTAGACAACGCAATGAGTAAACCGACTAGGACAGGCTGGTAGTCTGTCAGTCCGGTGTAGCCTGCAGAAACATCCACGGTGGATATACTGTTGGAGTTCCCCTGAAAATTAGCAATAATTAAACTTATACCATAGGTATATCAATACCCAAATCACTGAACTGGTTTTATAGGCTTTATAAGTTACTAGGGCCGCATTCGTTTATACAGATCCAAACAGTTAAACCAGTTGGACTAGAATTGTATGTTTATGAAATAAGGCCGGACCAAGTAAACTGATACTGCTTTCAGGTGAGCCTTGACGAAGCCTTGCAATGCCTGCATATACTTGAAAATGTTTCATTTAAATACAGACGAACTGGTTGAACCAGATACATGAAAGTTCAAGAAGAGAAAAAAAATCTCTTCAATGGTAATAAGTTATGATTTCCTGATGGTTGACAACAGAGCTTATCTGGACCCCATGCCAAAACCAGTCCCTTTGACAGGATTTTGGATAGAATCTGTCTTACACATGTGATCGGTATGAAGACTTATCTCCCTTGTTGTTTTAAATTGATTGCTTTTGAGGTGTCCCTTTAACCAACTGAATCTGAACAAAAATGACAGGCACAGAGATAGTGACAGAGACTGACATCTGGAAAACTAGGCACATGCATGTCAACCGAAACTAAAATGCTGACTTCAACTGGTTTGCAGTATTTCTACATTAAACAAGATCTAGTAACATATATTTTTCACAATTTTGCAGCATGTTATAAAAATGAATACATGGGTAAACGTGGCACATATAATTCTTGATATATTGATACTTTTAAAACAAATCTGCAGTATCTTAAATTTGCCCCAGTCTGTATACTATCTACGTAATATATTTCACCTTGTGTTGAATATGCCTTGCATCCAAAGGCAAAACTAAAACGGGGCAAAAGTTTTCCCTTTTTACAGTATATAAGCCACTTGATATTACCTGGTAGAAGAAAGCGGCCATGCCCATCCACAGGTAGTAGAGTGTGACAGTTGTGGGTGACAGTAAGATGTGTCGTAACACCACACTATCTATCAAGTGTTCCTGGATCACAACCATCACAAACATGGCCACATTGTGGGGTTTACTTAGTAACAGGACTAGGAGGATACAGCCGGACTGTACTGACACACAGAAACTAATAGCCTCATCTGGATTTGGTTTTCTTTCTGTCTGTAAACCTCGGAGGAGTGATGCGATTAAAGGGTGTAGCATACACAAGCCTATACACACAAACACCAGCTGGGCCAGCCAAGTCCCTCTGAAACAATCCGACTGTGCCTCAGTTTTACACATTAATCACTTACAGTGTTATACAAATAAATGAGTTTGTAATCAGAAAGCTTATCATACTTTGTTTGCAGTTGTATAGAGCACATATCTTTTATGTTGCATACATTATTTTAAATGACAATACATAAATACAATTAGGAACACTTAATGTATCATATATACAGTGAACCTGTCTAATCCAACACCCTGTGAGACAACATATTTAGCCAATTAAGCAGAGTTTCAGAATACACAGGTCTTATTTGGAATTTTCCATAAGAAATGGGTTTACACTGCATTAAGCTGGATTAGACAGGATGTCACAATACTCCGGGTGTTACAGAAAACAGGTTCCTTGTATAAATACATTCGGATTGATATGTCTCGCCTGTACCCCGCGGCTTCGATGCATGGGTTTAGATGTACTACCTAAGATACATCATTGGTCCAAGTTTGGTTGGTGTAGCACTTACTGTTTCTGAGAAACTAACTTAAACGCAAAAACTTAATATTAATGGAGATGCTGACAAAGTCAATGGACCATGAAAGGTAGGTCGCATCCAGCATTCGTTGCATGGGTTCATATGTGCTACCTAAGATACATCATTGGCCAAAGTTTGGTTGGTCTAGCATTTATACTTTCAGAGAAACTAACTTAAACACAAAAACTTAATGTTAATGGAGATGCTGACAAAGTCAATGGACCATGAAATGTAGATAGCATCCAGCGTTTGATACAAAAACTTGATGCTGGCGCCGCCCTCGCCGGAAAAGCAACACCTTAGTCTCGCTTTCGCTACAGCACAGGTCATCACTTTTGTGAAGTCACCAATCTGATTGTTACAACACTGAATTTCCTGTTCAAAGAACTTCTCAAACTGACGTTGCACGAGTGAAGTAACTAAATAAAGAATAACTACCCTAAGAAAATATACAGTATGCCCTGTCAAACAATAGTAGTAATGCAGGTTATTTAAACAATGACTGGTTGTCTGGATGTAATTATTGTTGATATAATTACATCCAGACAACCAGGTATTTTTTATATTTACATATTTTTCTTTTTTAAGGCATATTCCTCCAAAAACCATTTGCCCTGCCTCAAAATACATTTCAGGTGGCCATTTTGTTTGTTTACATATTCCTACACCTGAAACAGGCAGTTGTAATTATAGTCGAGCAGTTGTAATTATAGCCTATATAATTACACTTGCCCTCTAACACTGTTATAATGGGACGGCGTGGGGGCAAATGTAAATATATGATTATAACACCATTCGCTAACACATTCATTGCTGAAATATAAAAGCCACAGTAATTACAGTATAATTTGCAATAGATCAGTGCACATTAAATATTTTTGCAAGATGCTGATATGTGTCCCCTAAAAACATGAACTTACTTGTGAGTTGAGAGCAGCTGGAAAGGGTTGTCAACGGCTCCTGTGCTCACTCGATACCAGTAAATAAAGCACAGCCCCAACACAAACAGGAACCTCTGTATACAGGACTGCCCCGCCCACTTCACCATGGCAACCACACTCAGAGCACCACCCACCAACACTGACAGGACACACTTGTTTTCTGATCTGCAGTATGAAGCAAAAACATGAATAAAACAAGAGGTCCAGAGGGCCTGTATCATTGCTCCCTTTTTATTTCACTGTGTTGGAATATCTATTTATTAAAACTGAAATCCTTTCCAAAAAAGTTTGATTTAATATATTACCTGTGATCTTGAAAATCAGTCTAGATAGTTCATTTGGATAATTTGTATTGCCAATTAAACCTCAATTCTTAATAACTGAAAAGCTATCAGGTCTTATACAAATAATTATGATGACCTTAGTATTGGTGAAGTTAATTTATTTAAACAGAATTAAAGGCACTTCATCTTGACGAACTACATGGCCAAATGTCATGATACTAAGTCTTAGGGTTCTAAACAAATAGAAAGTGAGAAAATATGACAACAGATGACAAGTGGATGGGCGGCTGGACGTTGCACCATTTAATAGGTTACTGTAGCATGATCTGTTTGCAATTTCATACAGGTGCATGGGGCTGGGTATTGGGAATAGGCACCATGGATAAAGTGAGTATAAATATAATGTGAGGGAGACTGGGTTGTATTAAGCAAAGCAGCATGGAAGGGCTTTGGTTTGGTTGATTGTGTTTTACGTCCTATTAACAGCTATATGTATGGTCATTTAAGGACGTTCCAGGTTTTAGTGATGGAGGAAAGCCACCAACCTACGGCCAGTACCTGGTGACTGCCCCACGTAGGTCACAAACCCACGACCCAGTAGTGGAAGGCTAGTGGTAGCAGAATGTCAGACTCCTAACCACTTGGCCATCGCAGCCCCCTTACATCGAAGGGCATCTTGGGTGCAAATGGTATAAGGATGAGAAGAAAACAGACACATCTGTGTATTTTTGCCCTGAGTGTGGATCATCAAATTATTGTGTATTTTAACACTTAACACAGCCATCAGCAGGCAAATGTCATTTTTCTAAAACTTATGTTTCATTATTATTTTTGAAGATTTTTATTTGATGCAAAAAGCCTTGTATATGGGTTAAAGCTATTTAATTAAACAAACTTGTTAGCAATCCATCTCAGCAGGCCACATGACAAATATAATCGCTCAAAACTTTATATAGAATTCTTCAGAAAATAATATTTCAGAAAAGTTGACATCCAGTGACAGCTGAACACTAAAACGGTGTTTTTTTCCGACCCAATTGTAAACAGTTAAGAAGTGGTGTCATGTTTCAGCAGTGATATCCCAGATAATTAATGTTTTGAGCCAGTCTAGTATAAAATAGGTGTACTTAGCAAAACTGGATTATTGTGATGGTTCCCTGTTCAACATGTAAGGGAGTGAAATATCAGTGGGTGCCTTAGTTTTATTATCACTGGACCTGTGCACTAGTGACATATCTAACAGTTACCTGGTTCAGTGTACTAGTGACATATCTAACAGTTACCTGGTTCAGTGTACTAGTGACATATCTAACAGTTACCTGGTTCAGTGTACTAGTGACATATCTAACAGTTACCTGGTTCAGTGTACTAGTGACATATCTAACAGTTACCTGGTTCAGTGTACTAGTGACATATCTAACAGTTACCTGGTTCAGTGTACTAGTGACATATCTAACAGTTACCTGGTTCAGTGTACTAGTGACATATCTAACAGTTACCTGGTTCAGTGTACTAGTGACATATCTAACAGTTACCTGGTTCAGTGTACTAGTGACATATCTAACAGTTACCTGGTTCAGTGTACTAGTGACATATCTAACAGTTACCTGGTTCAGTGTACTAGTGACATATCTAACAGTTACCTGGTTCAGTGTACTAGTGACATATCTAACAGTTACCTGGTTCAGTGTACTAGTGACATATCTAACAGTTACCTGGTTCAGTGTACTAGTGACATATCTAACAGTTACCTGGTTCAGTGTACTAGTGACATATCTAACAGTTACCTGGTTCAGTGTACTAGTGACATATCTAACAGTTACCTGGTTCAGTGTACTAGTGACATATCTAACAGTTACCTGGTTCAGTGTACTAGTGACATATCTAACAGTTACCTGGTTCAGTGTACTAGTGACATATCTAACAGTTACCTGGTTCAGTGTACTAGTGACATATCTAACAGTTACCTGGTTCAGTGTACTAGTGACATATCTAACAGTTACCTGGTTCAGTGTACTAGTGACATATCTAACAGTTACCTGGTTCAGTGTACTAGTGACATATCTAACAGTTACCTGGTTCAGTGTACTAGTGACATATCTAACAGTTACCTGGTTCAGTGTACTAGTGACATATCTAACAGTTACCTGGTTCAGTGTACTAGTGACATATCTAACAGTTACCTGGTTCAGTGTACTAGTGACATATCTAACAGTTACCTGGTTCAGTGTACTAGTGACATATCTAACAGTTACCTGGTTCAGTGTACTAGTGACATATCTAACAGTTACCTGGTTCAGTGTACTAGTGACATATCTAACAGTTACCTGGTTCAGTGTACTAGTGACATATCTAACAGTTACCTGGTTCAGTGTACTAGTGACATATCTAACAGTTACCTGGTTCAGTGTACTAGTGACATATCTAACAGTTACCTGGTTCAGTGTACTAGTGACATATCTAACAGTTACCTGGTTCAGTGTACTAGTGACATATCTAACAGTTACCTGGTTCAGTGTACTAGTGACATATCTAACAGTTACCTGGTTCAGTGTACTAGTGACATATCTAACAGTTACCTGGTTCAGTGTACTAGTGACATATCTAACAGTTACCTGGTTCAGTGTACTAGTGACATATCTAACAGTTACCTGGTTCAGTGTACTAGTGACATATCTAACAGTTACCTGGTTCAGTGTACTAGTGACATATCTAACAGTTACCTGGTTCAGTGTACTAGTGACATATCTAACAGTTACCTGGTTCAGTGTACTAGTGACATATCTAACAGTTACCTGGTTCAGTGTACTAGTGACATATCTAACAGTTACCTGGTTCAGTGTACTAGTGACATATCTAACAGTTACCTGGTTCAGTGTACTAGTGACATATCTAACAGTTACCTGGTTCAGTGTACTAGTGACATATCTAACAGTTACCTGGTTCAGTGTACTAGTGACATATCTAACAGTTACCTGGTTCAGTGTACTAGTGACATATCTAACAGTTACCTGGTTCAGTGTACTAGTGACATATCTAACAGTTACCTGGTTCAGTGTACTAGTGACATATCTAACAGTTACCTGGTTCAGTGTACTAGTGACATATCTAACAGTTACCTGGTTCAGTTTGCTAGTGACATATCTAACAGTTACCTGGTTCAGTGAACTAGTGACATATCTAACAGTTACCTGGTTCAGTGTACTAATGACATATCTAACAGTTACCTGGTTCAGTTTGCTAGGGACATATCTAACAGTTACCTGGTTCAGTGTACTAGTGGCATATCTAACAGTTACCTGGTTCAGTGTACTAGTGGCATATCTAACAGTTACCTGGTTCAGTGTACTAGTGGCATATCTAACAGTTACCTGGTTCAGTGAACCAGTGACATATCTAACAGTTACCTGGTCCAGTGTACTAGTGACATATCTCACAGTTACCTGAGGATTTCAATAAAATTGTTCCATCTGTAAAGAATAGAATGTCCTTAACATGGGAGACATTTTGAAAGCTTTAGTCTAAGGTCAAGGTCACAAATCAGTACATACTTACGAACAGAACCTCTACATTTGAAAATTAAATTAAATTCTTGCCAACTGTCAATGCTTGATTTATGATGTAGTGATTCCTGATCAAAACAAAGTCTCAATAAATAAATAAAATATACTAAATTTGAGGTTTGCATGAAATTCAAAGAAAGGGGCGGTGGTCATGCAAGACAAACACAAGAACCTGGGTAATACATCCAGTTAAAGGTGAACACACTACTAGTATGGTATATATAGGAATTGTTTTTTTCAAGAATTGAATGTAGTATATTCTATTGATTTACACACACAGTACATAAACTATATAAGGATCACTGATGCTACAGCACATGCAGATTTACATTTTAAAGTGTTCTAAAAGTCTACCTGATCTTCATTAATTTTTTACACCGAACTGGAAATTTCACTGTTGATTTGATTGACGCGAGAGAAGTACAGACCCTGTACATTATCAATAGTGCACACTACTTATTAATGAGCTACATGCCCTGTAAAATAATTATACTTATTAACCATTTACTGGGACTGAAATGTTCAGTCCAACAAATGTGTGTGTATGTACCTGATAAGCCAGTCCCCCACATCTGGTATCTCCAGCCATTTATTTCCTGTCTGATTCCATGTCCTCAACACCCTACACAAGACTAAAACCAATATGGCCGCCATCACTGGATGACCATGTAAACCCTTCACCTGCTCTAAATCTTTATCTGTTCTTTCTTTTTCCTTATGTCTGTCTATATGTCCTGTATCTTTGTAATCATTGCTGTATTTCTGCTCTATTTCTCTGTGGTTTGTGCTGTATTTGTCATCAGGCAGGTCCTGATACTGTGTTGGGTCTGGTTGTTGTACGGGTCTGTGTGTGGTGACAACACCTGATGAGCATGTACGGAGGATGAGCACCACTATTGCCAGGTGTACTGTCACTGTGTAGTAATACCAGGTCTGGTGTTCTTCTTCCACGTAACTACTGGACAGCAGACTCAGGGTGTGGCTAACTGTCCCCAGGGTCAGGCCAACACCCAGGGGACAGGACACCCCCCATTGACCAGAGGGACCCACCTATAACAGAATAAGACTGTTACATAACTTCTGCCCAAACACACTTCAAGCCTCTAATATACTGGACAGTATGCTTGTTGTTCAACACAATCAAACCCTTTTTAAATTATGTTGTTTTTCAAGTTTGTAATAGATGGTTGTTAACAAAATTGATCAACCCTGAAGAACATATACCAAGTAGTTTTTTTCACCAATATCACTCCTCTGTATTATATTATTTTGCAAATAAACAACAGGTTACCTTTGTTTTTCTGGTAGACCAAAACCAGACAAAGATGACCACTAGTTCGGCTGCTGACCCACAAACTACAGAGAGGATGAGGCTCTGCAGAAGCAATCCAGAAGGGTCAGTGCGACACAGCTGACCAGACGAAGAAGTGGTGCAGACCATTACATGTCCAAGCAATATTGTCAAGGTGACAGGAATGCTCAAAACAATGGTGTTGGATAGGCTTCTTCCCTTGGGGGATGGAGAGAGGTAGAGATCTAGCCCCAATGTTGCCAGTATCTGCAAGGAACAGAGAAACCACATATACGCAGACCAGTAATAAAATAAATATAGTTTTACATTCCTATAAAAGAGCAAACTTAGAAGAAGAAAAAAAATTCGGACATTTGAGCAAGATCGACTCATATAATTCTATATTTTTAACAAATTATAACTTACTGACATTGAAAGTAGATACATGTATAAGTAGGTCATATAATTCAATGTCACTCAATGGAACAAACCAAGAGTCCTCAACTTCAACCAACAAGAGGCAAAACATCACATTCTTAATTGTTAAGAAGTCTTTGAAATTTTCAACATATTCAACATTGACGATCAAGTTCATTCGATGTTGTACATGTGGTTCTGTGTGTTCAAAGTGGTACTGTGTGTATATAGTGTTACCATGGTTACCTTGACATTGTACATGTGGTTAGGTGTGTATATAGTGTTATCATGGCTACCTTGAGGTTGTACATATGGTGCTGTGTGTATATAGCCTTACCATGGCTACCTTGACATTGTTCATGTTGTACTGTGTGTGTATATAGCAATACTATGGCTACCTTGAGGGTGTACATGTGGATAGGTGTGTATATAGTGTTATCGTGGCTAACTTGAGGGTGAACATGTTGTTCTGTGTGTATATAGTGTTATCATGGCTACCTTGACATTGTACATGTTGTACTATGTGTATATATATCAATACTATGGCTACCTTGAGGGTGAACATGTTTTTCTGTGTGTATAAAGTGTTATCATGGCTAACTTGAGGGTGAACATGTTGTTCTGTGTGTATATAGTGTTATCATGGCTACCTTGAGGGTGTACATGTTGTTCTGTGTGTATATAGTGTTATCATGGCTACCTTGACATTGTACATGGTGTACTGTGTGTATATAAAGCATTACTATGGCTACCTTGAGGTTGTACATGTGGTTCTGTGTGTATATAGTGTTACATGGCTACCTTGAGGTTGTACATGTGATTCTGTGTATATATAGTGTTACATGGCTACCTTGAGGTTGTACATGCAGTAATAAGTGTACCTACCAGCCATAGTTACCACGGTTAACTTTAGGTTGTACTGTGTGTGTGTGACATGGCTACCTTGAGGTTGTACATGTGGTACTGTGTGTATGTAACATGGCTACCTTGAGGTAGTACATGTGGTACTGTCTGTGTGTGACATGGCTACCTTGAGGTTGTACATGTGGTACTGTGTGTATGTAACATGGCTACCTTGAGGTAGTACATGTGGTACTGTGTGTGTGTGACATGGCTACCTTGAGGTTGTACATGTGATACTGTGTGTGTGTGTGACATGGATACCTTGAGGTTGTACATGTGGTACTGTGTGTGTGTGTGACATGGCTACCTTGAGGTTGTACATGTGGTACTGTCTGTGTGTGACATGGATACCTTGAGGTTGTACATGTGGTCCTGTCTGTGTGTAACATGGCTACCTTGAGGTTGTACATGTCGTACTGTGGGTGTGGGACATGGCTACCTTGAGGTTGTACATGTCGTACTGGGTGTGTGTGACATGGCTACCTTGAGGTAGTACATGTGGTCCTGTGTGTGTTTGACATGGCTACCTTGAGGTTGTACATGTCGTACTGGGTGTGTGTGACATGGCTACCTTGAGGTAGTACATGTGGTACTGTCTGTGTGTGACATGGCTACCTTGAGGTTGAACATGTGGTACTGTCTGTGTGTGACATGGATACCTTGAGGTTGTACATGTGATACTGCGTGTGTGTGTGACATGGATACCTTGAGGTTGTACATGTGGTCCTGTCTGTGTGTAACATGGCTACCTTGAGGTTGTACATGTGGTACTGTGTGTGTGTGTGACATGGCTACCTTGAGGTAGTACATGTGGTACTGTGTGTGTTTGACATGGCTACCTTGAGGTTGTACATGTGATACTGTGTGTGTGTGACATGGCTACCTTGAGGTTGTACATCTGATACTGTATGTATATAGTGTTACCATGGCTACCTTGAGGTTGTACATGCTGTACACTGTGTACCTACCAGCCATTGGGTTACCACGGCTACTATGAGGCTGTAAATGTCATACTGTATGAGGGAAGATGAGATATTCTCCGACATAATGTTGATTGCCTTGATGTAACGCCTCCCAATCTTGTCTCCTTCAGCCAGCCAATCAGAGTTTGACATTCCACTGGTCCTGGACATCAGCCAATCATGATGAGCCTTTGACAGTCTTTGAAACTCAACGTAACCTTCATCTAAATTGTAATGAAGTAAAAAATTATTTTCATTAAATTTTATAATTTATATACTTCCGAACACTAAAATATGAGGCCCAGTCATCCTGTTTTGCCCTGCCCCTCTGCCCCAAAGGACACACACCCTCCATTTATACAATATTATCCTCTTTGCAGCCAAATTGCTCAAAGATTGCTCTAGGCCAAATTTGGTTAAATTCTCTTCGTTCCTTTACCTCTGTTTCACCTTATTGGGCCCCATTCCTCTACCCCTAGGGGAACTACACCCTCCAGTTACATAAAATTAAAATCCTTATGCTCAAGCATTCACCTTAACCAAATTTGGTTAAATCCCTTCATTCTGAAAGAAGGAAAAATATTTCAAGACTTACCACTATTTCCCTTCTTGGGACCCCTGCACCCCTTAGCCCCTTGGTGACCACATCATTTGATCCTGAAATTGAGTTATTTTGCCAAGGGATGCTCCAGATTAAATGAAGTAAAATCCTTTTATTTATACGGATGGTGAAAGACTTTAAACATTTACCCTATTTCCAATTGAGGGACGGAACAATATACGCCCGTCGAATGCCATATAGTGTTATATACTTTCTTACATTGAAATAAGATCTGCATCATTCTAAGAGTGGTTAGCTGACATGCTATACAAAATGTAGCAGAAAATCTCTGGACAAAAAATTAAAGGAAGACACAACTTCATATCATGATTATAATGTATACCAAGTTTCAAAGAGATCCGTTGAAAAATGTAGGAGGAGATTGCCGGACAAAAATCAAATACTGAAATAAACAAAGGGCAATAACTTTTGCTAAAATTGTTGAATCAAAATTCTTTTCAAGGAAACACAACAATAAATCATGATTATTTAGCCTACTAAGTTTCAAAGAAATCTGTCGAAAGATGTAGGAGGAGATTGCCGGAAAAAAAACAAATACTGAAATAAACAAAGGGCAATAACTTTTGCAAAAATTGTTGAATCAAAATTCTTTTCAAGGAAACACAACAATAAATCATGATTATTTAGCCTACTAAGTTTCAAAGAAATCTGTCAAAAAATGTAGGAGGAGATCTCCGGACAAAAAATCAAATACTGAAATGAACAAAGGGCAATAGCTTTTGGAAAAATTGTTGAATCAAAATTCTTTTAAGGGAGACACAACTTCATATCATGATTATAATGTAGACCAAGTTTCAAAGAGATCTGTCAAAAAATGTAAGAGGAGATTGCCAGACAAACAAAAGTTAACACCGGCCGGACAACCCCATACCATTATACTTCTGTCAAATTTGACGGGCATATAAAAAGGGAACCAACACCCTCTATTTATACAAAATTGAGTTACTTTGACCAAGGATGCTCTTGCTGCTAAAATTCATTGAAATTTACTTCATTACATTGCTATTTTTTTCATTATTTGCTTTAACTAAGACGCTCCTAAAATAATCTACATCTTTTCTTTTCTAGACGGTTGTTTATTTTTCTGGACTGGCCTTCTCTTGGTTGCTGACCACATGACCATTTCACTGTGTGATGATCTTCTATGATCTTATAGTGTTGAAAGGCCCTTATGCATAACAAACTTTACTACACTATTAACACACAGATTATTATTACTTAACCTGAACTCTTTTATATTTTCTTTATAGAACTGGAGCAATTGTAAATCTTGGATCCACAAAGTTTAAAAACAACTTTACTATATTTAAGAAGCCAGTTGGTGATAACATAAGTGTTTGGTTTTCTGGATTTAAGAGGCTCTATACAATGTAACTGTAACATACTGTAACACACCTATGTCACAGTCTGGGTTGTTATACTTCAACACTTTAGATACTTGAAGTGCATTCTTCCAAAGCAACATAACCTTCTCCTCCGTAGAGAACCCCTCCAGGGCGTCGTCAATGATCAGCCCGAGATTATTCCTGGGTATCGGTAAATCCAGTAACACAGACAGTGTCGGGGGTACATCTACTTGATCAACTTCTTGTGTTCCCTCATCTACAAAAAACTGTTTGTTATGTTAATAAATGTAAAGACTTCAATAACAACGTTTTAACAAATCGATAAATGGGAATATTCACATATCAATAAATGGGAATATTCACATATCAATAAATGGAAATATTCACATATCAATAAATGGAAATATTCACATCACATATTGAATTGTTAACAAATATTTCAACCTGGCAAATTGAAATCCACAAATTCATCAAAAATAAGTTGATTAATCATGAATCTATCAGGTACTACAATACTACAAACTGGAATGTATCATCACTTCACTGTTTATTTCCTTATGCACCTGTTACCAACTAGGTTACAGGTAGGGTGTAGATCTAACCCCCATCCCCTAGCTAGTAGTTAAACATTTTATGTCTGGGGGGTTTTCTCATTTATTTTAAAACTACATTGAGGTACCTTTGATATTTGCAGGTTAATTTCAATCATTTTAGTCTTCACCACACACTCAATTTAACTAAAACAAGAATTCCACGGGAGTGGATGTGTCACCTGCTCAGCACTTTTAGTAAGAAAGGTTTTTTGGCTTGAGTTATCGTGTAAGCTGATATGACAAAACGCGGAAAGTTGAAACTCAACAAAAAACCTGTAATATATGTTGAACATTATTGATTCTTGCATTGCCGTACAAAATCTAAAAGGAACTGATTAAAAAAATAAAACAGTTCTTGTATTTACTAAACAATGCCCTTATTTGGCAATAAAAGGGTCATAACTCCACCAAAAAATGCCCATATGCGGGGCTATCAAAAAACTAGAGCAAAACAGAGTAAGTTTGAAAAAATATGTTTATAGTGATTGTATTGGTTGTTTGAGGCATGTAATTTATGTTCATCTTGTGCATAAAGAATAGATCTTTCGATCCATGCGCTACATGTGTGTGAAAGTGACGATTTGTTTCTAAAATATCAGTTTGAAGTGCGACCCGGGTGCAGGTCACTTATTTCCCGCATATTATAGAGGGCCGGAGTTCTGAAGTTAATCGACGACAGACCGATATAAAAAAGTCGATAAAACGTCAGAATAATTCAGACTAAGTTCAGGTATGCAATATGTGTACCAGGTTTGAGTTCAATCAATCCAAGGGAACTTACGTTATCGCACGGAAACAGTGTTTCGGACGACGCAACCAACGCCGCCGCCAACAACGCCGACAAAGTAATACCTATATGTCGTTTCGCGTTGCAGGCGACACAACATAGTATTTGAAGGAACGAATCAAGGAACGTGCAAGAGACGTTTGGCTATCAATAGGTGTTTCTTTGGGCATTTGGACGATGATGTTGGAGTGGCAATGTTGAAATGTGTATACAAGGAAGGCAAGTCATATAGACTCTTTGTTGAGGACACATGGATCATGAACTTTAATGCCAAATGTCCAAATGGTTGTAACATCCAGAAGAACTGTTGATAGGAGAGACTTGGTGCTCTTGACATTATTATGACATCATAGATTCAATGAGTCATTGAAACATCATAATTTTTGTATGTTGTTTCCTCCTCTTCCAAAAAAAGGCAAGGTGGATGTAACTAAAATTCATTGTTGACTTTCACCCTTGACGGAGGAGGCCAGGAGGCCAAAATGTTGGGACTGAGAGTGACAATTCATTACACAACTGATTTTAATATTTTGCTTGATCTTTTGAATTTTGTTGACTCTTAGATATATCAGGTCTATTGTTAGCAGCATCTTAGACCATGTGGTTTTATCTGGTCTACTGTTAGCAGCATCTTAGACTATATGGTTTTATCTGGTCTACTGTTGGCAGCATCATAGATCATGTGGTTTTATCTGGTCTACTGTTAGCAGCATCTTAGACCATATGGTTTACTGTAAGCAGCATCATAAACCATGTGGTTTATCTGGTCTACTGTTAGCAGCATCATAGACCATATGGTTTTATCTGGTCTACTGTTAGCAGCATCATAAACCATGTGGTTTATCTGGTCTACTGTTAGCAGCATCATAGAGCATATGGTTTACTGTAAGCAGCATCATAGACCATATGGTTTTATCTGGTTTACTGTTAGCAGCATCATAGACCATATGGTTTACTGAAAGCAGCATCAGAGACCATGTGGTTTTATCTGGTCTACTGTTAGAAGCATCATAGACCATATGGTTTACTGTAAGCAGCATCATAGACCATATGGTTTTATCTGGTTTACTGTTAGCAGCATCATAGACCATGTGGCATATGGTTTACTGTAAGCAGCATCATAAACCATGTGGTTTATCTGGTCTACTGTTAGCAGCATCATAGACCATATGGTTTACTGTAAGATGCATCATAGACCATATGGTTTTATCTGGTCTACTGTTAGCAGCATCATAGACCATATGGTTTTATCTGGTCTACTGTTAGCAGCATCATAGACCATGTGGTTTTATCTGGTCTACTGTTAGCAGCATCATAGACCATATGGTTTTATCTGGTCTACTGTTAGCAGCATCATAGACCATGTGGTTTTATCTGGTCTACTGTTAGCAGCATCATAGACCATGTGGTTTTATCTGGTCTACTGTTAGCAGCATCATAGACCATATGGTTTTATCTGGTCTACTGTTAGCAGCATCATAGACCATGTGGTTTTATCTGGTCTACTGTTAGCAGCATCATAGACCATGTGGTTTTATCTGGTCTACTGTTAGCAGCATCATAGACCATATGGTTTTATCTGGTCTACTGTTAGCAGCATCATAGACCATGTGGTTTTATCTGGTCTACTGTTAGCAGCATCATAGACCATGTGGTTTTATCTGGTCTACTGTTAGCAGCATCATAGACCATATGGTTTTATCTGGTCTACTGTTAGCAGCATCATAGACCATGTGGTTTTATCTGGTCTACTGTTAGCAGCATCATAGACCATGTGGTTTTATCTGGTCTACTGTTAGCAGCATCATAGACCATATGGTTTTATCTGGTCTACTGTTAGCAGCATCATAGACCATGTGGTTTTATCTGGTCTACTGTTAGCAGCATCATAGACCATGTGGTTTTATCTGGTCTACTGTTAGCAGCATCATAGACCATATGGTTTTATCTGGTCTACTGTTAGCAGCATCATAGACCATGTGGTTTTATCTGGTCTACTGTTAGCAGCATCATAGACCATGTGGTTTTATCTGGTCTACTGTTAGCAGCATCATAGACCATATGGTTTTATCTGGTCTACTGTTAGCAGCATCATAGACCATGTGGTTTTATCTGGTCTACTGTTAGCAGCATCATAGACCATGTGGTTTTATCTGGTCTACTGTTAGCAGCATCATAGACCATATGGTTTTATCTGGTCTACTGTTAGCAGCATCATAGACCATGTGGTTTTATCTGGTCTACTGTTAGCAGCATCATAGACCATGTGGTTTTATCTGGTCTACTGTTAGCAGCATCATAGACCATGTGGTTTTATCTGGTCTACTGTTAGCAGCATCATAGACCATGTGGTTTTATCTGGTCTACTGTTAGCAGCATCATAGACCATGTGGTTTTATCTGGTCTACTGTTAGCAGCATCATAGACCATGTGGTTTTATCTGGTCTACTGTTAGCAGCATCATAGACCATGTGGTTTTATCTGGTCTACTGTTAGCAGCATCATAGACCATGTGGTTTTATCTGGTCTACTGTTAGCAGCATCATAGACCATGTGGTTTTATCTGGTCTACTGTTAGCAGCATCATAGACCATGTGGTTTTATCTGGTCTACTGTTAGCAGCATCATAGACCATGTGGTTTTATCTGGTCTACTGTTAGCAGCATCATAGACCATGTGGTTTTATCTGGTCTACTGTTAGCAGCATCATAGACCATGTGGTTTTATCTGGTCTACTGTTAGCAGCATCATAGACCATGTGGTTTTATCTGGTCTACTGTTAGCAGCATCATAGACCATGTGGTTTTATCTGGTCTACTGTTAGCAGCATCATAGACCATGTGGTTTTATCTGGTCTACTGTTAGCAGCATCATAGACCATGTGGTTTTATCTGGTCTACTGTTAGCAGCATCATAGACCATGTGGTTTTATCTGGTCTACTGTTAGCAGCATCATAGACCATGTGGTTTTATCTGGTCTACTGTTAGCAGCATCATAGACCATGTGGTTTTATCTGGTCTACTGTTAGCAGCATCATAGACCATGTGGTTTTATCTGGTATACTGTAACCAGCATCATAGACCATGTGGTTTTATCTGGTCTACTGTTAGCAGCATCATAGACCATATGGTTTACTGTAAGCAGCATCATAGACCATGTGGTTTTACCTGGTCTACTGTTGGCAGCATCATAGACCATATGGTTTACTGTTAGCAGCTTCATAGACCATATGGTTTACTGTTAGCCGCATCATAGACCATATGGTCTACTGTTGGCAGCATCATAGACCATATGGTTTACTGTTAGCAGCATCATAGACCCTATGGTTTTATCTGTTCTACTGTTGACAGCATCATAGACCATATGGTTTACTGTTAGCAGCATCATAGACCATATGGTTTTCACATAAACGCCAGCTCTTGTTCTATCTTCACTTTGGCACACTGAGATATGAATACCTACCTCAGTGCTGTGTGAACCAGGGTTTTGGAAGAGTAGTTGAACCCTTGCATTTCTCACTGTACAATCTCACCTGTGATTTAATTGATAAGTTTTGACAGAGTACCTGTGTGATGTGTAAACCTTGGGCTGAGGAGGAGGAGGGGAACCCTGGTCTCACTTGGTGTGGCCCCTCCATGGCCCCCCTGATCACTCATTCCATGGTCCCCACACACAACTATAAGGGTGTCCACTTCTGTATTCTGAAGTAAAATAAGAAAACAGGTACTAGTATTGCTTTTTACGACAGCATTTGCAGCAAGGTCAAAATAAAGGTAAGTTCTAGTCCTTATGGCAAAGGTACTTAAATTGCTTGAATTTGAAATATACTGATTTCAGAATTATCAAACATATCATGGAAATAGCCTTACAGTATTCATGTCACTTGTCCACATTTCCACAGCCATGAGGCACTAAATGTAGTGTTTTTCTTGCGCATTGCCCTGTTACTGGTATGTTTAACTTGTAAAAACTTATCTCACTACAACAATCTTCATAAAACCTTAAACTAACATTGTGAGAAGGTAACTTAGTTTCCATCATTAAACCTTAAGCTGAAAGGATGAATATTGAGGACAACATAAAAGAAATTTGCCTGCAGTATTCTCCCTTGTATTAGCTAGACAACAGATGGAAATGTGCTTGATGTATATATATTGCTGAATCAGAACACAGAAAGAAATGTGCTACTGACTTTTTCTTATCACACTAATAGCTAGACATTCCTAGATATCAGTGATTATGAGTTTAACCCTTTCACCACTGTAGACCATAATGGACTTATCCATATCAATCCATGGAAGAGTCTACTTAAGTTACAGAGGGCTGAAAGGGTTAAGATGATAAAATGTGTTACCCCTGAAATATTAAGATAACTATTGCACAAATGTGTATGATTTGTAAGATTGCATCCTGCTCAATGTCAAATCTACCTGTTCCACATGCTGATAGATATCCCTGATTATTGAGTCCATCTCTCGAAGTTTGGGAGGAACCAGAGAACTTGTAGGACCTGCCAGATGACCGATATGGTCAAGACCAAGGTAATGTAGTATCAGGACGTCAAACTGACCAGCTTGTAGGGCCGGCAACACATGTCGAGTGACATTATTATCAACCTGTTAGGGGGAAAAAAATAACAACTTTTAACATACCCTGTAACTCTTTATACGCCCAACCCACTCACCCAATACTCTCCGTTCATATTCACAGTTCCAATTTAACCATCAATAATTAATTTCCAAGTTTATCATATTCTTAAAGTTTCATTGCTATAAGTGATACCATAACCAACTTAATTAGTGCCCTGAAGATTTTTGGGAACATGATGTCATAAGAATGATTTCAGAACCTTCCACATTCCATTAATCATCAAATAAATTCAAAAATATTGTATGTATCTGAATTCTTATATATGCACCTCTGTATAATCTGTTACAAAGAAGGATGTGGTACCATCAGACTCTACAAAGTGATGAGGAAACAATTTTATCCATGTGTCATCGCCGTAGAACATCACCCTCTTCCCTGCTCTCTTCATCTGGTCAATTATGTTGTCTTCGTGCAGTTCGGAGGAGCCAAAATTCAGCACCACGTCAACAAACCCAGGGATACTGCCAGTTGTCAATGCCTACAATTAGCAAAGAAAAAATTCATAGAAAAACAATGTGGTATGTATACTAGATCTATAGCTACCAATCATTAATGGGTATACACACAATACAGTTAGCATAGATAGTATACAACAAGTTTTCTTAGGAATAGAAATGTTTGTCTTTGTGGTCAAGATATGGCTGAAAAAGGATGGTATGCACTAGCAGAACTTAGACATATGGGAAATATCACTGCTCTCATTGAGATTGTCGCGAATCAATTGGTTCGAGTGTCAGTTTAGAGTCAGAGGTCATGTGCTTGACTTCCGGTTTGACTGTGTATTTTTCCTCTACTATTACATTTTGCACCCGACTAAATATACCCATGGAGGATGGTATAGGATCTTACGTCTTCGGGATCAAAGACTTTGAAGGAGGGAGGAATATAGCGGAACAGGACAGGGTTGATAACCAGTGACTGGGTAGCTCAGTTGGTCAGAGGTTCAAATCCCAGTCTGGTCATTCATGTTTCCTCTCCTATTACAGTGGTGCCAGTAAAAACCCTTGTTTCTAGTACTGAGTGTATGTTTGTCATACCCAAGTGTAGGGAACATAGACCTAGAAACTGTAGCGACACTGGACTCGATTGATAACTGTAGCGACACTGGACTCGATTGATAACTGTAGCCACACTGGACTCGATTGATAACTGTAGGGACACTTGACTCGATTGATAACTGTAGTGACACTGGTCTCGATTGATAACTGTAGCGACACTGGACTGGATTGATAAATGTAGCGACACTGGACTCGATTGATAACTGAAGCGACTCTGGACTGGATTGATAACTGTAGCGACACTGGACTGGATTGATAAATGTAGCGACACTGGACTCGATTGATAACTGTGGTGACCCTGGACTCGATTGATAACTGTAGCCACACGGGACTCGATTGATAACTATAGTGACACTGGACTCGATTGATAACTGTAGTGACACTGTACTCGATTGATAGCTGTAGCGACACTGGACTGGATTGATAACTGTAGCGACACTGGACTCGATTGATAACTGTAACTACACTGGACTGGATTGATAACTAGCGCCACTGGACTCGATTGATAACTGTAGCGACACTGGACTCGATTGATAACTGTAGCGACAATGGACTCGATTAAAAACTGTAGCGACACTGGACTCGATTGATAACTGTAGTGACACTGGTCTCGATTGATAACTGTAGCGACACTGGACTCGATTGATAACTGTAGTGACACTGTACTCGATTGATAACTGTAGCGACACTGGACTCGATTGATAACTGTTTTGACACTGGACTCGATTGATAACTGTAGTGACACTGGTCTCGATTGATAACTGTAGCGACACTTGACTCGATTGATAACTGTAGCGACACAGGACTCGATTGGTAACTGTAGGGACACTGGACTCGATTGATAACTGTAGCCACACTGGACTCGATTGATAACTGTAGTGACACTGGACTCGATTGATAACTGTAGTGACAGTTGACTCGATTGATAACTGAAGCGACACTGGACTGGATTGATAACTGTAGCGACTCTGGACTGGATTGATAACTGTAGCGACACTGGACTCGATTGATAACTGTAGTGACACTGTACTCGATTGATAGCTGTAGCGACACTGGACTGGATTGATAACTGTAGCGACACTGGACTGGATTGATAACTGTAGCATCACTGGACTAAATTGATAACTGTAACGACACTGGACTCGATTGATAACTGTAGCGACACTGGACTCGATTGATAACTGTAGCGACACTGGACTGGATTGATAACTGTAGCGACACTGGACTCGATGGATAACTGTAGCCACACTGGACTCGATTGATAACTGTAGTGACATTGGTCTCGATTGATAACTGTAGCGACACTGGACTCGATTGATAACTGTAGAGACACTGGACTGGATTGATAACTGTAGCGTCACTGGACTGGATTGATAACTGTAGCAACACTGGACTGGATTGATAACTGTAGCGACACTGGACTCGATTGATAACTGTAGTGGCACTGGACGCGATTGATAACTGTAGTGACACTGGCCTCGATTGATAACTGTAGTGACACTAGACTCGATTGATAACTGTAGTGACACTAGACTCGATTGATAACTGTAGTGACACTTGACTCGATTGATAACTGAAGCGACACGGGACTCGATTGATAACTGTAGCCACACTAGACTCGATTGATAACTGTAGTGACAATGGACTCGATTGATAACTGTAGGGACACTGGTCTCGATTGATAACTGTAGCGACACTGGACTCGATTGATCATAAGCGACCATGTAGCTCAATTGCCTAATGTGTCTGTCTAGAGTTTGGAGGTCCCCAACATTCTAGCCATGCATTCCCCTCCCCCCTCCTGTTACAAGATCAAATAGGTCTTCGGTTTGGACCCCATAGTGTAGCGGAACTAGACTAGGTAGATCCTGGCAACCAGAGCTCAATTGGCAGAGCGTCTGTCTCGAGTTCAGAGGGTCTTGGGTTCGAACCCCAGTCTGGCCATTTCATTTCTCTTTCTCCTGTTACAGCTGTAACAAATTATCAGGTCCCTGTCATCTATATGAGACTACACGGATACCATGGTTTTGATGTTGAGGGAGGGTGACACATATTCTGATCCTAAGTAAGGAGGTCGTGAGAGGATAATATATACATACTTTGATTCTCGGTAAGGTGACCGTAGGAGGGTGAACTCTGGCGATGTATCTGATGAGCTTTCCTTTTGTCCACAAGTCTTGCAAGCTGGTCATAGGCGATTGTTTGTTGAAAACAAAGTCTGCTCTCAACGCATCGATCAAGATAAATACCATTTTCTTAAACACTGGTTGTTTTAAAGTAGAGTGCATTTCTGGATAGAAGGAGACATTGTTGTTGAAAATCTCGAATGAGAAGTCTGACTTTTCAGAAAACCCTGGTAAGCCGTTTCGTATAGGGAAGAAACTTTTTAAAAACACCGCGTAAAGTAGCAGCATACAAGTGAACTTATATGCGATATACGACGAATCCATTTATTTGAGTCAAATAAAAGCGAAGAGCATGTAAAGGTCCATTACATTACTTATACAGATAGCAGACTTGCCAGTGGGAATCTACACTGACTGCAGTATAGCATCATATGTAAACTTCCGGGAAGGGAGGTAAGTCGAAGTTGCAGCATGGCCACCTGTCGACAGTAACGTTTTCCGCTTCATCATCATCATGATGGAGTGCAATTGTCACTGTTACTGCGCTTTACACCACATATTTTGTAAAGCATGAGTACCAATATTGAACGATTGTGTCAGGTGACAAAAAATCTTCTGAACAGTTGCATGAATATAAAATAAATAAGTTAGTGATTTTACTAATACCAGAGACGTATAAAACATTATACGTCTCTGCTAATACTAAATGTCGGGGATATTGAAACTTGCTGAACATCAGTTGTAAGAGGCCATTAATTTCAGCCACACAACCCTCACTTCAACCCCATTCCCCGAAGACATCATGGTAAATTTCAGTGATGTACACTATTCCTTGTATTAAACATGATTTTTGTCCATTATAAAATTTATGAGGATTTCGAAACTATCGAAAAGCTCGCATCAGATCCACGGCAGAGTTGCTCGTTTATGAAATAAGTTCGGACCTAATAATCTAATGCTGTTTTCATGCAAGGTTTTACAAAGCTTTGCAAGGCCTGTATATACCAGAAATACAGACGAAATGATAGAACCGGATTCGCGAAAAGGGCCCAGGATTCAGGGGAGTATATCAATCTAATTATAATTCAACTTGTAATTACAATTGTAATTAGATTGGAGTTTAGATATATACCATCATTGGGTGTTTCATTTTGGCGAAAGTTGATAGAAACCCCTAAAACCTGTAATATTACACTGAACACCTCAGTTTAGGTCCAAATCATGTTAACCATCTCGTGACATTGCCACTATATAACCCTACCAAATTCAGTTGCTATTTATTTAGGCTATGAATGCAATGAACCGATTGTTGACGTCATCATTATTATAACTTTATTATGATTGTGTTGGATACCCACTGACCAGGGAGGATGCCTGTTCTATTCATTGAACAAGCATACACGATACATACATTGTTTGAACTAACAGCTGAATGATTGTATAAGTGTAATTCAATTTTCTATAAGCGCGTTTCATTGAATTTGTCATTGTCCAGTTTGAATTCACATTGCCTATGAATGCCAACTGAAAGCATTCAATGCTAAATATAGTTGTAACAAATTATCAGGTCCTTGTGCAAAATACGTGATTACACATATGAAGGTACATTCTTATAAGTAGCATTAGCTTTCTTTTATTGCTAAATCAAATAAAACCAAACCAAAACTAAACTAAAAGTTTAATCGACGACAGACCGATATGAAAAAAGTCGATAAAACGTCAGAATAATTCGGACTAGCCATCCGTTAGCTTTGCTGTATCAAACATCTTTTGACTGGTTAATAAAGAAAGTGTGGCTAGCAATGGGTGCAAGATACTATAATAGTTATCGGGGATGAATTGATCAGTCAGTACCGGTATAGATTCAATAATGGCGGACCGACGGCACTTCAGCTAATTAGTTTAGTTTAAATCAATTTTGTTGTAACAAAAGACAAATGGATTGGACAAAAGTTATTGCAACTTACTTACGTCCTTTCCGTAACAGAAAATATATATACAAAATTAATGTGTCCCGTAATAACCTAATACAAATTTATATATGTATATATATATATAAGATGTTAAAGATGGGTTACAGCAAAAGAGGTAATGATAGGATTAGGGACACCAACGAATAGTTATTAAATATGTATTCGGAGAGTTTACTTGAGATCGCGTGTGTGATTTTCCCAATCGAGTCGGCGTAAGTAGTATACCTAATCTAAACACACATATCCTTCTGCTTTTCTAAAGTTCAACCACATTCCGTGCCGCATTTGCCTTCCTCCTGTGTCACTCCAAATCCTTCTGTGAATTCCTGCCTTACATACTTAGCCGACTAGATTAGGAAAACCGGACACGCACTCTTTGTCAGATGGAAACGGTTATGATATTGATGGACGCTAAGATTGAAATTAGTACACAGAGATCGTTGGTGTTGGAAAAAGGGAGAGGGGCTGGAATAAGAGAGGAGGTGGAGGGAAGAGACAGATGGGAATAGTCGAAGTAGGTATCCTGGTTATTCAATATGACTGTTGGGTATTACATATTAAACCGTTTGGAGCTAAAAATGAACAGTTGTACAGACCTACAAAGTTGAATGTTTAGATTGTATAGTCAAGGTTTGCATCTCCGAAGAGAAGGTGTTCAACAGTGATTTCGTTATACCAATCGAGGGATTGAAGCATTATATTACGGGATTGATCAATTTTTTTACAGTTAAGTAAGAAATGGGAAGAGTCTTCCGAGTCATTTCCTCAGTCGCAAGTAGAGTTGTCTCGAAGGTGAGCTTTAAAAAGGTCGTAATTTAAAGAGCTACTGCGGTTTCGTAATTGGCAATGTATAATATTTACTTTTCTGGACCCGTATTCAAGAAAACATTAAATATAAGAAGGGGTAGTGACTTGAGGTTGAATAAGAGTTTTAAATTGTTTAATGGATGCTGATGACTTTGTTTCTATTTGTAGATTGTTCCAGTAGTCTGAAGTACTTGGTATGAAGGATGATTTTGTGATTTGCAGTCTATAGTATGGGTTCTGTAAGTTATTCCCGTTTCTAAGATTATAGTTAGAGAAGTTTGACACAATAGGTGGTAGAAGAGATTTTAGAAATGAGGGAGCATTATCATGATAAATATTATAAAACATAGATAATTTTCTAATCCTGCGTCTATCTATCAATGATTTCCATCCGAGCTCTCTGTAAATAAATTCTTTTTTTGTATAAATAGGTAATCCAGTTATTATTCGACCTGCTTCATACTGCATGTTCTCTAATTTATTCGAAAATGTGATATTACAATTGTCCCATACTTCGCAGGCATATTCAAATAGTGGTCTTATAAAAACAAGGTATATTTTTTCCATTTTTTTTCTCTATTTAGGATGTATTTTAATTTCCTTAAAGTTGCAATGTACTTTGTAGTGTTTGTTAATATATGTTCGATATGAGAGTTCCATGTGCCGTTGTTACTAATAATGACTCCCAGGTGTTTGTGGTTTTTAACAATAGGGATAGGTGTATTGTCGAAAAGAAATTGTGGGTTAAAAGGTATATTTGTGTTGGAAATTAAGAGTATTTCGGTTTTATTTGGGTTGAAATTCATTAACCATTTATTTGACCAAAGGTTTAATTGTTCCATGTCATAGTTTATTACTTGTTTTATATCGTGTAAATTTTTGTAAGAGTGTGCTAATGCGGTGTCGTCAGCAAAAAGTCTAGTCATTGATAGTAGTGTATTTGAAATATCGTTGATGTATACAAGAAAAAGAAGTGGCCCTAACACTGAACCTTGAGGAACTCCGGCTTTGATAGAAACTTCAGAAGATATAGCATTTTTTGGTACCACTGACTGGCGTCTGTTACTTAAGTAGTTTTTAATCCAATCTAAAAGTTTGCCTTTTATCCCGTATTTTTCTAATTTGATTAATAGACCTTTGTGCCAGACTCGGTCGAAAGCTTTAGAAAAGTCACAAAAAACAAGAGCAGTATATTCACGATTCTCCAGTGCTGTAAGTATGCTATGATAGAGTTCGATGGGTTGGTGAGTTGTAGAGTGATTTGGTAAGAAGCCAGACTGTAAAGTATATAGAAGTTTGTTGCTGAATAGATAGTTATAGATGAGCTTATGATCTATTCGTTCGAAAAGTTTGCCAATGCAGCTAAGTAAAGAAATGGGTCTGTAGTTATTTGCCAATTCAGATTCCCCCTTTTTGAAAATAGGTGTCACATGGGCAAGTTTCCATGAATCAGGAAATACAGAAGTACGAAAGGATTCGTTGAATAGAAGTGTGAGGGGTGCAGATATTTCATTGGATACCATTTTTAACATTTTATGACTGATGCCGTCAGGACCAGCAGCTTTATTAGTGTCTAAAATATTGATTATATCTAAAACCTCTTGTTCTGTTATTACAATTTCAGTAAGGGACGCGTCTGTTTGGTTGTCAAAATAGGGTGTATCGTCGTTATGGTCATCAAGGTCAGAAACAGATTTAAAGAAGTTATTTAGAATATTGGATTTGTCATAGTCGTCTGTGGTTAAGCGGTTATTTGTA